AGTGAGGTGGATTTTTGAGACATAAGTGGTGAGATTATTTTGACATGAAGTGAGTTTTGACATAAGTATTTTGACATTTGACGTGAGACATGAACGAGTGGAAATGACATTTGACATGACGTGAGGTGGATTTTGACATGAGACATGCAAGTGAGTTTTGACATGAGACATAAGTGAGGTTGGAGATGCAGTGAGTTTGACATGAGTGAAGTGATTCTGACATGAAACTTACTTGAGTGAGACATGAGCATAAGTGAGACATGAGACAAGCGAGGTGGATTTTGACATGAGATATGAAGTGGGCTTTGACATGAGACATGGACGTGACGTTTTTAACATGAGACAGTACATGACATGACAAACCTGAGGTGGGTCTTGCCATGTGTCTTGCATTGTCGATGACACAACCACGGATCGGTTGTATGACACTGACAGGAAGTAATGCCAGCCTTCCAGTTGAGCCATGATGAATCCGAATGTTTTGCGAGGCTTGTGTTATATAAGACTCACTCGCGTTTAGTCATTCAATTTGCATGAATCATTTATCAAAATGTCGAAGGATGTTATTCGCCATACTCGTTATTTTTTTATTTATTTATTTATTTATTTATTTATTTTTCATTTTTTATTGTTTATTTTTTTTATTAATTTATTTTTTTTATTTTTCATTTTTCATTTTTTATTTATTTTTTTATTTTATTTATTCATTTATTTATTGTTTGCAATCTGTTTTTCAAAATTATTGTTCGAGAACCACGAATTCTTAGATTAGTGTTGTTCTCTTCTTTGGTATGATTAGAGTAAGTATAATGTCAAGAGCAATAACACCAATTTGTAATGTAGAGTAATATATACCATCAACTCATTTATTCATAACTATTTAGAAAAGAGTAACACTAAAGAAATATTCGCTCCCATAATCCCAACAGCAAACAGTAAGGGCCATAATCACATAGTTTCTTTAGTCATTGCCTCCTTATCAATTATTCACGCCCTGCACATAAAAGAGTTTTCCCGTGAAAAGCAACCTTAATCAACACCGAAAATCCAAGAAAAACACGTCAAAAGAACCTGATAATAAATGCAAATCGAATATTGAACATGTCTCCCCCTCTGACATGACGCTCCCATGTAGTAGAGACGCACGTTTGTTGTCATGCGCTCGTCAACATGATGTGGGCAGCTTCAGTACATGCCGGTCGCTTATCGTGTTAGTACCTTACCATAGGGAGGGCAGCATAAGGCTCATATTAGTTCAAAGGAGAGTGTGTATTTCAAGTACAGTATGTTTGTTTTTTTGTCTCTCTTTTCTGAGACGCTCTTGTGTGTTTGTTTTACGGGTTTTCAGTTGAGTGCTTAGTGAATTCGTTAATTGATTTATCGAATTTATCAGTGTATGAATTTACTGAAATAAAAATACGGTGTGGTGTTTTTGAAATGCTCGATCAGCTGATATGTAGACTGGAACGACGTGTCAAAAATTCATCCTCCCGCTTCAATGATGTAAGTCTTTTAAAAACGGTAGATTTTAGTAAAGATTTTTTTTTTTTTTTTTTTGGGGGGGGAGGGTTATTTGGCATTTGATTTATTGGTCGTTGGTTGTTGTTTATAGTCGTTGTTCTGTTATGATGGTATTTGAAAATATAATTTCATATTAGCATTTAATTAGTTATTATTTTTTGTTGTTGATTGCTACTGTTGTAGTTATTGCTGGTGTTGTGGTTTCGTTATAATCATTGTTATTACTATTATTGTTCTTGATACTATTAATATCGCCATTATGCGTATTATTATTATTATCGATAATGTCATTATTACTATTATTATGACTAAATCTTTATCGTTATTATACTTATTCTCATTTCCAACATCATAACTACATTATTATCATTCCCACTATCACTTTTATCACCACTATTAACACAATTTCATCATTGTTCATCACATGCGCTATTTCATGATGAGTCCACATCCATGATTTAGCTTTCATGTTCATTGCAAATGTTAATGCACGGTAATAGCAGCCTTTGCATGACGTTGACATCTGTACCGCCTTTTGAACGTGCACTAACAGCGTGTCCTCAGTCAATGCAAACTTAGTGGTTTTCTTTTAATTCGAACTTTTAAATTTGGAAATGTATTAAGTTGTCACTAACAGCGTGTCCTCAGTATATGAAAATATAATGGTTGAGATTGCTAGTAGTCCTCAGTCAATGAGAATAGAATGTTTTTATTTCTTGAAGCTTGAGTTGCAGAACAAATCATGACCTTATTCCATTTGCATACGGGTAATCAATTATTCGTATGATTCCGCAGTGCTTGGTTTGTGTTTATTTGTGATTTCCTTGTTTAGCCCCTTATTTATATGCAACCCATAGATTTCACTTTTTTTTCTCCCTCATTCAGTCTTCCCTTTATTTTTGTTCATTACATTACCATCTCTATTACTTCACCTCATTTTCTTATATATCTCTTTAACAAATTCTAGTAACCTTTCGTCACTATTTTCTTCACTACTTCCTTCACCTTTCCATCTTTCACAATATTCCACATTTATCACCCTCTTTCCAGCTTACTCCTTCCAAATAATTCGACTGAGCATGTCTTCTTTACCTCTTTTTTCAATCTGAATCCATTTCCATTTTTATTCCAACACTAACTTATTTCAAATCGCCGATAACTAAATACATCAAACCATTCATGTCATCATCATCAATTTATATTTTTAGATTATGTTTTCATATGAATTGCGCCTCATACATTTTTCATTTATCTGTAATTAATCTATTTTCTCTATATCACCCATCCCTTCGAACAAAAAAACATTTACACTGTATGTCAAAGTATCTGTCGCTTTTTTACGTTTCGCAAGATTCAGCTGATATACAATGCATTATCCTTGAAATGGTTACTGGTTTAATAAATATGCCTGTCTTCAGTTTTGAAAGCAGGTTTGCAGTGTCATTTTTATTCTAGATTTATATTATCCTTCCAGGTTTCTCAAGATTATTTATAGCGGAGCAAATGCTTCCGTGATCTTTGTTTATTATCATGTTTTGTTTTTTTTTTCATTTATTACTTTTCTGATTATTATCATTGCTGCTGTGATGATGATTGTTATTGCCATTATCATTATTATTGTTGTTACTAGTAGTATCGTTGCCATTATTATTATTAATAGTATTATGATATTTATTATATTTATCCCATTCATTAACATTATGATTTTGATGATGATATATTTGTTTCTAATCGTTACTGTTGTCATGATTATTTGTTATTAAATACTATTTTTATCTGTATTCTATCATTATTTTAAATAGCCTCTACTATGAGTTCCATTACAAGTATCATTAGTATTAGTCGTAATCGTACTATTATTACCAGCATTACTGCTATTAATATCTATATCGTAATGAAATTCACCATTGCAATTATAGTCATAACCTCACTATCTCTCTTCCTATTACTAGATAACATGTTGCAACAGGAACAACGAAGGGAAGGACAAGAAAACACACCAATGTTTTTTTGTTCTTCCTTTCGTTGTTCCTGTTGCAATCTGTTCATCCACACTAGATAACATCAACATCAGAAATACTACACAACAACATATAGTTGCTATGGCTTTCCTCGTCTCCTTTCCATGCAAAAGCTGTTGCAACATGCACTACTTAGCTCTTGTTTATTCATACATTCTCGTGTCAGTATTTCTTCTCAGTACAAAGTAATATTCGCGAATCATTTTATTCACCATAAACATATATCAGCAACATTTCCTCCGTATCTCTACAATGTTGCATGCAAAAATAGCAACGTTATCACCTCACTTTACGAGGCAGATTCGCTTGCATCTTGAAATTAAGAATACGTGCAAGTCACACCGGAATCGACCGTTCTCTTAGCCACGTGTATTCGAAGCTTAAGAAACCTTTATACTTACAAGGCTTCAGTGCGAGTGTTCTGTCCTTGAATGTTGTGCTTAAATGCGTTCTTGTTTATGGTGTTTGTGCGTGTGTGTGTGTACGAGTGTGTGTGTGTTGTGTTGTGTGTTGTGTGTGTGTGTGTGTGTGTGTGTGTGTGTGTGTGTGTGTTTAGCATGGTGATGATGAAATATTTAATCATATTTTACCAATTAAACTTAATCGAATACTCAGATCTAATCTAAATCGGAAATCCAATATTACGATTGATCAAGAGCCATTTATTTATAGCTTTGCTGTATTTTCACATAAGTAAACAGTATCAAGAGAAAGAGAATACAAAATACTCCTATATAATCCCGCATTTAAGGTTTAAAAAATTGTCATATAACAAATGCGACTGTAATATATTACTAGCAACATCAAAATGAGAATTGCAATAACACACTATAAATGATATACTAAAAATGAAATTCCATGCATTCCTTGAGTACGAATGACTAATATGAAAACTTGCAATATGTTGAAAGTTTACCGAAGTATTCTAATGATCATATATTTAACATTTGCTTTATAGGTCCACAAATTACACATGTGCAATCCTATTTTTAAACCTTAACATTATGGCCATTAGACATGCCACAGCTCCAGCTATGCCATACGAATAAATAAATAA